GGCGCGGCGGGCGGCGGAGGCGACAGCTGAGTGGCGAGCGCCCGGCCAAGCCCCGGGTTGCGCCGGCGGGGTGCGGGACTCCCCGGCACGCGCCGTCCGCGCGAGGACGCGGAGCCCCTTACCTTGGCGAGCCCCGGGAGTCCGGCGGGAGGCGGCCAGCGGTGCGGGGCCGCGCGGCGGGGCGCCCACCCGGGCTTCGGGGCGCACGCAGCCGCGATGCACCGTCCGCGTCCTGGGCGCGCACCCCGCGCTGGCGCACCCTGCTCGTCCGGGGCGCGCACACCCTCCAGGCGCCCTCTGGCCGGCGGGTTCGGCCTGCACTCGGGGCGCACACCCTGCGGGCACACCCACCGCGCCGGATGCGGGACTGCCAGGCGCCGCGAGTCGCCGGCTGCCAGCACCGCCGAGTCCCCGCCTTCGCCGGGGGGAAAAGGCTCCTGACGCCGCGCGGGCTTTGGTGTGTAGGAAGGGGCAGAATTGCGAAAGCGAGGGGAGGGTCTTAGCCTTGATCAACTCGAACGCCCTTGGACAGAGTTCAGAAGAAAAACTTGGAAAAAAACCCAGAAAACTCCTAACCTGCACTTTTTCAGATCCCCAAAGTATTTTCACGCCCATTTCTCTTGGTTCATGTAGATATTTCTATCCTCGCAATCGATGGGGAGACAGCATCAGAAAAAGTCATGACTTGCCCAAGTCAGGATTCGAACTCAGGGTTGGTAACTGGGAGTCTGCGTGCAGTGAGGTCCTAGCCACGGTTTGGGGGCATGAGAGTGGTTGAGGAAAGTGATAGAACTTTTAATTTACCTCTCCTCGGCATTTAATTCTTTTTCTGTTTTCTTCCAAGTCATTGCTGTAGCCCCATTCAGAATCCTAAATCTTTCATTTCCTAGTACCACCTCCCATGGAAGATTTTTATCAGTTCAAGATATTTGCATTTCAATCACTAACCTTGAATGACCAGCTGCCTAAGTGCTACCTTTCACACAATAACCCTTAGGAGAAGTGGCTTCTGCTACCCCTTTACAGATGGGGACAAACAGGCACAGAGGAGTAAGTGTAGTGCAGCCTGTGGGACCCCAGATCCCAGACCTGACCCACCTCACACATCTTCAAATACTTACTGCCATAGGGTCAAACTTAACCAGAGGGATTTTACATTTGACATTGTCACCCAGATGGGAAAGATAATTTGAGGCAACGGACATTTCTGGGACTTTCATGTTCCGTTGTGTCAGAAACTTGGTTATTAGACTGATTTCACTTACACTAGGACCCACCCAGAGCAAAGCAATAGCCGCAGAGCAATGGTAAGTGGAATGGAGGCGTGGCCCTCTGTGATGGGGCAGCAAGGAGTAGGGGGGACTGTAGCAAGCTGCACAACAGTTCCAGACTCTTGTCCAAGTGAAGAGGCTGATGCTACTTGGCCCTAGCTGATTTTTGACAGCCAGTGAAAGGAAGAATCCTCTTGTTTTTAAGAAAAGCCAAAAATCCAGATTTAAGTGAATTCTCCCAGTTTCTTGGCAACTCATTTAAAAAAAAAAAAAGCTAAACACTTTATCTAGGTCCACATTGTGCAAGTTAAAGGAAATCTGGTTATGAACCAGATCCAGCATATAGAGCAAACCTCACGTTTGGGGTACTTACACTATGTTACTTGGGCCTCCCAACATCCCCGTGGGACAGCCCCAGTAAGGATCACTATTTCCATTTTAGGGAAGAGGAAGTCCAGTTCCGGAGGGTTCCATGCTGAGCCCAAGGTCACACAAGCTAATTGGTGGAGCTGGAACTGAAGCCAGACATTCAGAGCCCTGGTCTTAGAACCTTTCCCTCTGCATCCTGTAATCACATGAAGATTTGTTCTTGATTTCTGGGCATTGTAAGCCAAATTAGGGATACGGTGGCACTGGGGTGTGGAGACACAGTACCTTTCCTGGGAATATGGAGCAGCAGTGCCAGACAGCTGTCCTCGAAAGCAGCTCAGCCTGATGACTCAGAGATGGAACTGTGTCTCTAGGGGAGAGCTGAGTCAGAACAGGCAAAGTGTGAACTAGGCCAGCTGGGGCTACTGGAACCCAGAAATGAGAAGAAAAGCAGACTCAGCAAATATGCCCACCCTGTAGCTCACCCTACTCCCAAACCAGAAGCCACAGACACAGAGACACCGCTAGAAAACTGCCTGGCCACATTCAGGCAGTGGACTTTTTAGAGTCTCAGATTGGAGATCCTCCACTGCAGCACCCAGCCTGGGCCTCTCAGACAGTGAGCATTCATCTTGGAAGCTGATTTAGAATGACTGGGCACAACCCTGCTGCAGCCTGAACCACCACAGTCAAAGGACTGAGCAGTAGACAGAACGGAGTCTCCTGCCTTCCCCACTCCTCACCTCCCTTTTTGGGGTTTACAGTGGAGGTGTAGGAAGATTAACATGCTGTTTACTGTCTGCCATGTGCCAGGCACCGGGCTGACCTTTTCCCATACATCTGTCTCACTGGGACTTACAACACAGCTGTGAAGTAGCTGTCATTCTCCAGCTGAGCACAATGAGGCACAGCGTCACTAGCGTAATAAATTGGGGTGGGGGAATGGTGACTGGAAGACTGACCTTCTCTAACTGAAGGCTTGGAAATTGGGCCTACATGGAGATGTGTCACTCAGATCTTGCTCCAACACAGGACTGCCCAGCTACAAGCAGTGTGGGTGGCAGACAGCCCCACAGTGTCATGGTTCTGAGGCAGGGTTGGCCTCAGTCAGTGGCGTGTTGACAAACAGCATGTAGACCATCAATGATAAAGCTTGATTTATAAATTAGGCACAGTAAGATATTAATAATCACTAACAATAAAATTAGGATAATTATAACATATATGAATGTGGCTAGTCTTGCTCAAATATCTTGCTAAACTGTACTCAACCTTTATCTCGTGACAATGTGAAGTGAGAAGACGAGGTGAGGTGAATGACATAGTCAAGGTGACGTGTAGTCTTAGACTGCTACTCGGTGGTTACTTGAACACAGACATTACGGTAGTTGATCCGATAACCAAGACGGCTGGTAAGTGACTAATGGTCAGATAGTATATATGATGTAGAGACTCAGGACAATCCAGAGGAGGACAGATAGACAGTGCAAGATTTCATTTGCTATTTGGAATGGTACTCTATTATGAATTGTTTGTTTCTGGAACTTTCCATTTAATATTTTAGGACTGCAGTTGACCATGGGTAACTTAAGCGTCAGAAAACAAAACCAAGGATAAAGGAGGAATATCTGTGTTTCAGTTTGAAGACACCTTTTGCAATATTTATTGTTGGCTCAGATTAATGTTGGCTTATTCATGGCCAAACAAGGCTTATCTAACCTACATATTTTGTCCATAAGGCACATCACAGCCTTCTGGTGCTTTCCTGAACACTAAGCTTGGAGGCTCTTGTAAACTACAAAATCACCAAAATGCACAAAAATCTGAGAAGTACGGCACTAGGTAAACTGTGAGGTGTACACTCACAGTGTGAGAGCTGAAGCAAGAAGCAGAGCTGAGACTTGTCTAACTCAGGCAGAGAGCATTCTGGGCAGGTAAAACTTTTTACCATGCCTCATGCCCACAGATGACTATAAAACCATGTTGGGTCTTAACCGAAATTCACACAAGAAAATTTTAACAAGTGCGTAAAATTTTAAATGCAACATTTGCAAATAATGAGGATGGAATGCTTATGTATCATGTGTGCATATGCATATCAGTTCATTATAAATTGTATTGATACAGGGCACAGTTTACAAATAATAATCAAACATGCAATACTCTGTTACATATTCTATTCAGTCAATTGATTCTCACAGAAATCTTTCTGTGTTCTGTGCCCAACTCTTACATCCAAGCTGTTGTGCCCAAAGTGCAATTAACAAATGAGCACGGCTCTGCCATGAATGTTGGTTGATATTTTTGCTCACATTAAGGATTAATATAAAACTAACTTAGCAAAGACCCAAGCTGGGAACTTCGCTCATTCTTCAATGCATGGATGACTTCCTTGTGACTCCAAAGTGGTTTTCAAATATTAGAAGAACATTCTTCGTTTTTTGTGCTATTTACCATGTAACAGCTACGACCTTGTCACACTTTTAAGTTTAATCTTTAAAACTTTAAGTTTTATTAAACTTTCTTCTTTACATTCTGATGTCTCAAACACTGTGCAGATTTTGTGTCAACATAGATGTTCATTTCCTTAAGATAAATATGCAGGAGAGACACTGGGAACCATATGACAAGCACGTGTTTAACTTTACAGGAAACTTCCCAACTGTCTTCCGGAGCAGCTGTGTTACATTTTACATTTTGCATCGCTGCCAGCCCTGCATGAGAAATCCGGTTCCTCCCTATCCTTATCAGCACTCGTTATCATTACTATTTATTTATTTATTTTTATTGTTTTATTATTCATATGTGCATACAAGGCTTGGGTCATTTCTCCCCCCTGCCCCCACCCCCTGCCTTACAACCTACTTCACCCCCTCCCTCTCCTCCCCACCCCCTCGATACCCGGCAGAAACTATTTTGCCCTTATTTCTAATTTTGTTGTAGAGAGAGTATAAGCAATAATAGGAAGGAACAAGGGTTTTTGCTGGTTGAGATAAGGATAGCTATACAGCGAGTTGACTCACATGAATTTCCTATCACTATTTTTAAAAAAGCTTTAGTCACAAGTGAGCAGAGGTATCCCATCAGACCTTTAATTTGTATTTTCCTAATGTTGAACGATCTTGAACCTCTCTGGTCATGTGCTCCTTTGCGCCATCTGTATTGTATTCATTTTTAAGTAGTATTTCATTTAAATTGTAAGTTTAATTATAAGCATTTAATTTTTAATAATGGCTCTGTGAAACCACTAGTTCATAAAATTCCTGAAATTATAAGAATCAGCTGGAAGAGGCTGGCTCCAGCATGGCTGCCCTTCTGCTGGCTGACTGAGGGTTCCTCTCCTTGGGCAGCTCCCAGCCAATGGCTGAGCAAAGAGGTGGGACTGGGGCCTGGCCATTTCCTCCAGGAGAAGAGGCTGCTCCCAGGGGCAGTCTTTGCTCCCGGACTCTGCTTGGGATTAGAGACACCTTGGCCAAACTCTCCATTGTCCCTGTGCGGAGAGGCTACTGGGGAACAAGATTGGCAAGCCTCACACTGTCCCATGCAAGGTGACAGGCTGCTGTGGTTCTGTGCTGGTTCGTCTCATCCCTGCCCCCAGGGGCACTGGCATCGTGTCGGCTCCTGTGCCCAAGAAGCTACTGCTGATGGCTGGTATTGATGACTGCTACACTTCAGCCAGGGGCTGCACTGCCACCCTGGGCAACTTTGCTAAGGCCACCTTTGATGCCATCTCCAAGACCTACAGCTACTTGACCCCCGACCTCTGGAAAGAGACCGTGTTCACCAAGTCTCCCTATCAGGAATTCACTGACCATCTTGTAAAACCCACACCAGAGTGTCTGTGCAGAGGACCGAGGCTCCAGCTGTGGCTACAACATAGGATTTTTAAAAAAATATAAAAATAATAAAGTGAATTAACCCTGTTTAAAAAAAAAATAGAGACACCTTGAGGACCCTACATCCCCATCCAACAGCTCTCCCTGCTGGATTCTGCTGCTACTCTCTGGTTTCCACTCAGCAGGTGTTCTCTAGAGAGCCACACCTCGCCGGGCCCCTCCTCTCTGTGGCCTTGTGATGAATTGCTTTCCACTGCTGCTTCAGGCCAGGGGGTCACTGTGGTAGCTGATCTGGTCCCTGGAGTCATTCTCAGGCATAGCCCCACAGTGCCTTGTGAACTGTGCAGGAAATGCTAAAGTCATGAAGAGGCATGGAGAGCTGCAGAGATACTCTTCTCCATTCCTGCCCTGATTGACAGCCCTTCCTTTTCCCCACCAAGTCTTTCTGACACTTCCTATGAGGTAGAGCAGTCACCTTGTCTCAAAGTAATGGCTGCCTCACCAGGTGAGGTACCTCTTTTGAATTTGCTTTCCTCCCTCTCCTTCTGTTCTCTTCTTCCTCAGTCTGAATGCCCTGGGATTGCTTTCAGGAATGTGTTTGCAACAGGCTCAGATTTCTACAGCACCTGGTCTAAGACACCCAGAAGACTAAGCTGTCATTTGTAAAAAGGTTTCGTTGGGGCCTTCTGCGCCCTACATACCCACATCCCTTATAGGCTTACATCCCATAATTCTGGGCTATACCCCAAACAGGTCCCACATTTTTCTAGCTTGGTGAATGAATACAGGGACTCCTTCCACCGAGGTTCTTTCTTCACTACCTCCCAACATAGCGCACGTGCACACACCTGAAACTTCACCTTGTCTCTCGTGTCCAAGTGACTCTGCTGACCATTAGCTGCTGTCCAGGGGTACTTCTTCCAGGAAGGCCTTCTTGATACCTCAAGCCAATCAGGCTTTTCCTTCCTTGGAGCCACTGTGGTGTTTAGAGGCCCACATCACACTGCTTGTGTTCTACCTTGTCTAAAAGGCAGCCTTAGTAATCTGCCAAAAAAATAAATCTCATGCCACTCCCTTGCTTAAAGCCTTTCAAATGCAGCCAGTCCCAGAGAAAGCCCAGATGCTGTTAAGAAAGCTTGCAGCCCCTTCCTGTCTCTCCAGTCTTGTCCTATGTCCTCTCTGTTTCAGTCCCTTACATCAAGACTCTTCATAGTTCCTCTAAAACTCTGGGTTCCTCCTTGCTGTGTTTTGTTTGTTTGCTTGTTTGTTTGTTTGTTTGTTTTTCTGTCTGTAAGTCCCCCCCACCCCAATTCTTTGTCTAAGTAGCTAATTCTCATCCCATAGGTCTCAACTTAAGCATCACTCCTGCAGGGGCTCTCTCTGATGCACCCTTAACCCCAGGCTAAGTTAGGAGCTGTGGTTTCCACACCCGTGGTCTCCACATCCATGGCATCTCAAGACCTTTTTCCATAACACTCAGCACAACTGAAATTATGTGTGTTGTCCACTTCTCCCAAAAGGTTTTAATTATGTATTTGGTATGTTGCAGTATCTCGTTCGGCCAGGCATATACAAAGGTAAATCTGGGCTCTCAGTGTTTTATGAGTGAATAAATAATTAGGTCTCCATTGCCTTGAGACCTGGTGAGGAGTGAGATCACAGATCAGTTTCAAGTTTTCTTTTGTTTGTTTGATGTTAAATTACTACTTTATTGATTCATACTGAACATGGAATTCTAAATTTGAAACATTATTGAGTACAAAAGGAATATACACCACACACACATCATTTTATGTGTCTATTAACATGTGAAAGATCATCAATAAATTTTCTAAAAGTTAACATAGGCTTCACATCCTAGAAGTACGCAAACACTTCTTAAACAGGACACAAAAGCCCCAGTCCTGAAGAGGAAGATTGACTATCAGGAGCGCATTACAGTGAAGCACTTCTATCCATCAAGCATGTCTTAGTGCTGCAGACAGCAGCATCTTACTTGTTCTTGTGGTTCTATGGGATGGGTGGGCTCAGCTGAGCAGATCTGCAGCTCCACATGGCATGGGTTGGGGTTATGTCATCTGGCTTGCTGGCTGGAGTATCCAGGATGGCTCTTTCATGTGGTTGATAGCTCATTCTGGTTCAACTGGGGCTGGTAACTCAAGTGGCCTCTCCCTGTGGCCTGGACTCCTCACAATCTGGTGTCCCAAGAGCAAATGTCCCAAGAACAGGCCTTCTGAGAAGGAAGAGGTAGGTCTGTCCTTTCTCTCAAAGGTTAGGCTCCAACACATCAGCATCACTTCCAACACATTTTATTGGATAAGCAGTCCTAGGAGAAACCCAGATTCCAGGGAGGGTATAAGAAAAACCAACTCTCAATGGAGATGGTGAAAAATAATTTATTGTCATCTTGAATCTACCATGACACCATTGAGAAAGTGTAAGTAACAGCAAACCACAGACTGGAGAAAGCTGTGTCTTAAAAAGCATATAAGTTAGCTGGGCACAGTGGCTCACACCTGTAACATCAGCTACTCAGAAGCAGAGATCAGGAGGATTGCAGTTAGAAGCCAGCTTAGGCAATAAGCCAGATGTGGTGGTACATGCCTGTGATCCCAACTCACAAGAGGCAGAGATAGGATGACACAATGTGGTACCAGCCCTGGGCAAAAAGCATGACTCTTTTAGTTTTTTTAGTTGAAAAACAACTAAAGCAAAAAAGGGCTCAGGGCATTGTTCAAGTGGTAGAGAGCCTCCCTAGCAAGCATAAGGCCCTGAGTTCAAACCCCAGTACCACCAAATATATATATATTTGGAAATAGGGTCATTGCAGATGTAAATAGTTAAGATGAAGTCATACTGGCCTAGAGTGGACCCTAATCCAATATAGCTGGTCTTTTCATAAAAGGGGAAATTTAGCTAGGCATAGTGACTCACCCAGAACTTGGGAGGCTGAGGCAGGAGGATGATGAGTTTGAGGCCACATAGCAAGACTCTGTCTCAAAAAAAAACCAAAAAAACAAAAACAAAACAAAGGGGGAGGTTGTAATTTGGAGAAGTAGAACACTATGTAAAAATAAGGACAAACATCTGTAAGCTAAGGAAAACTAAACATTGCCAGCAAAAGACCAGAAACTAGGAGAGAGGCATGGACAGCTTTTTCCTCACATGCATCAGAAAGAGCCATCTTTGCCAACACCTTGATCTCAGACTTCCAGCTTCCAGAACTGTGAGACAATTAATGTCTATTATTTAAGCCATCTAGTATATGGTACTTCACACGGCTGTATTGGCCCAGTAAACCAATACAATACATAAAGGATGTCTTCAGAGCGGGAGGCAAAAGACATCCAACAAAGAGATGATCAAAAGCATAAACATACACTTACAAAAGAAGATATCTTAAAAGGCATTCATATGAGAAAGTATGCGACATTGTTAGTTACTGGGGAAATGCAACTTGAACCTCAATAAGATATCACTGCACATCCTTCAGAATAGCTTGTTGTAGAAATATCACTAACATAAAGTATTGGTGAGGATGTAGACGTGGAATGAACAGAACTCATGGACATGGTTCCTGGAGTATAAATTACTCCCTTGGAAACTGCCAGTGTCTACCATGTGCATCCATGACCCTGAAGTTTCACTCCCAGGCATAGAACCAACAGACATATGTGTTCATATGTGTGTCATAGAGCATAATCATAAATTTCCCCAAACTGGAAATAATCTAAATTTTAATTCACTGTAGGATAATGGAATAGTTAATAAAATATGGTACAGCAGTGAAAACAAATCAACTATTACTATATATAACATGGATGATGCTCACAAAATGAACCATGAACACAAATTACAAAGAATGTAGACTACATTAGTCCATTTATATAATGTTCAGACTGGCAAAACTGCTTTGTGACAACAGAACTAAGTGGTTATCTTTGGGGAACGGAGGGTAGAAGGAGGCACAGAGGGGCTTAGGGCAGCAATGTTCTGTTTTTACAATTTGTGTGATATTTACAAGACAATGATGGTGAAAATCCATGGAGTTGTATGTTTATTATTTGTGTATTTTATCTCTGTAAAATTTAATTTAAAATTAAGGAAATACATTCCAAAGTATGAGAGAATCCCGGCTCTCCGATAACTGGAAATTCTAGTCGTGCTTTTTGCATTTGAAATGGTTTATAAATCTGTTCTTCTGGAAAACTGTTCTTAGAGTTTTGGTCATTTTTGCAAAGAAGTTGTAAGTTTATCTTTTATAAAGAAGTTTTGCTGTGTGTATGAAACATTCAGTGTTGATTAGCTATTTAAAACTTGATTTAAGCATAGAGTGAACAAGATGACATTAAACAAGAAATTTGACATTAGGTTGAGAGTCACAGTCCATCCATTGGATGACAAAATTAGTCACCAAAGTCAACTTGCTCTCTAATGTCCACATAGATGGAAGCCTACACTCCAACATTACTGAACTTGTAATTCCTCCAGCCCCGGGCTCTCTCTCTCACGCATAGCATTCTCTGCATAAGACAGTCCTCTGTAGCTCTTTATCTATTTAACTCTTGAATCCAGTCCAGGTATCCCCTGCTGTAAGTAATCTCCTTCGGCCCCTGTGATAGTCTCTGGACTGGCACCCAGCAATCCCCCCCTTCTGTGTTCATGCCTTGCACAATTCCCCTCTTGTCAGTATGGGCTAGACCTAATGAGTCTTTGCAAATACACAGAATATGGTGAAAAGTGATGCCATGTCATTTGTGAGATTAGGTTACAAAAAACCTGGTTTCCATCCTGGGCTCCTTCTCTTCTCTCAGTCTCATACTTGGTCCCAGAACCTTTGCTGGGAAATAGTTAGGAAGAGCCCTGTCTCAGGCAACAGCTAGTGAGGATCTGAGGTGTGTTAACAGTCAAGTGAGTGTGTTTTAGGATGAATCCTCCCCAAGTAAGCTGACACCTGGCTGCAGCCTTGTGGGACCCTAAGTCACAGACACTTATCTAAGCTGTACTCAGATGACTGATCCACAGAACCTATGAGCTAATGTAG